CTGTACCTGCTTAAACTTAACCCTTAGCTGAACCTTAACATAACACTGATACTCAGCCTAAATTTGACTTTTTCTAGCGATGTTTCAAGAATAGGTTGTATAAATGTCCACATCACAAGGGCTTTCTAATGCAATATGTCTGTAATTCACACACACACACACAAAATGCAAATCTTTTGGGTATGTTTTCATCATCTGTGATGTCCAAATTTGCCACAGTCACCGCTTTTGTTATTCCGTCTCTGTCTCTTCACCTCTGCCCATCCCTCACCTCCCTCCCTCTTTTTATTTCTCCCATTTCTGCACCCCTGTCAAGTGCTTTGTTTGCTGTGACTTTCCATGCGGTTATCTGAGCGGAGACAGTATGCTTCACCCTGGCACAGGACCTCAGTTTCCACGGCAACTTTATAATTGTTTTGGATGCGTTCCAAACTCCACTGGATACCGAGGCATTATTGATGTCAAAAGAAACATGTATGAAATGAGGAGATGTGGAGGCGTCCATATGGTTCTGTACACAGCCTCATGCAAAGCCATTTAACCGTTTTTCAATGGGAGTTTTGTGATACCGCTGAATAGATCCCACATGTGTCGCATGATATTTCATAATTTTGATCTTTCTGTTTCACAAAGGGATAATAGCACGCAATACAAGCCACTGAACTGTGCAATATTTCCTCTATTCATGTCATTAAGTCATTGTCACAGTATGCACTGCTGGGTTGAGTATGGCGACCTTGCTGAATACAATATGTCCATCATGATGCATTTTTAAAAAATCTGAATAGTGAAAATGAGAATGAAGTCTTTCTGAACACATGAAGGAAAATAAAAGTCTACAGCACCAAAAGCTTTCTCCAGTTGCTGTAAAGTACATTGCTGCTGCCCTCATTCACACCAAGTAGTCTTTGTTTTGACAGGAGAGGCGGTATGAGTTATCCCAGTGCTTGTCACCGTAACCATATTGTGACCCCCCCCATCCCCCACCATCTTTCTGTCTCATGTGCACGCACACACACACACACACACGCAGCCTTGCAGCACCTCTGAGCCATGAGCTGTGGCCACATTAACCACTACGCCGCAACACTCATTAAAATAACATATAGTGTCAACAGCAGTGTGGCCCCAAGTGGATAAACCCAAAATGCAGTGTCTTGACTCACAAATCCACAGACTTGTCTTTTCATCAGAGAATTGCCTTCAGAGCAGCAGGTTTGCTTCTTACTGTTGCTTATAAAACTTTGACTCTTTCTGCACCGCTATATTACAGAATGTGTGATAAAACCGAACCGAAATGAGGTCCTGACTGATCTTTTTTCTCTGATCTCAAGCCTCCCCTCCCTCTGCTTAATTTATGACCTGTGAGGAGGAACCCAGGGAGTGAGAAGTGAGTGAGACTGGTGTGAAAGCCCTGAATAGAGCCGGGGCAACAGGCCCTCCAAATAACACAAAAGAGGCACCACAGCTGTTTGGAG